GGGTGACAGAAAGTATTTTACGCAAAAGTTTCTCAACCTCGTAAGACAGACATCACAAGCAAAGATATCGAACTCTAATATGGGCATGGAAAATCGTGAGTGATATTGTTGTTTTGTCTTTCAATATGTCGTCCGAATATCCCACTTCCAAAAAAACTCCATCCACCGTCCCAGGCCCCTTCCCAACCCCAATCCGTGAGAGACCCAATTCCGTCTTCCGTTCCAACGCCCCTTACCACCCTACCCACAAATCCCTACTTGAGACATTGAAGCCATTCCAATCATCCCCATCACAAATAAAGCCACAAAAGACAAAAAAACGCCAATCCCCATTCGCGCTATTTTCCAGCAGCGAAGGTATCCTCGTGGGGGGATGCATATGCAACGCACAAAACTCCAATAATGTTCCCAATGTTTCCCCAAAGCAAAACCTTGAAGCCCATAGTTTATATCGGCCGTTGAAAACATCAGAAAGCTCGTGAAACAGAGATGAAAGTAAGAAATGAACAAAGGAAAAAGGTTACAAAGGAAACAAAGAAAAAGAAATAATGGCCTACCCCGAATGGGGAAAACCGTTCAAAGCAACAGAAAAATTGCCTTTTTTGTCCTTTATCGAGGTCCAAACTCCGGTTTGTGATATAGAGTACAGGAGGGGGAAATCGTAAAAGGTAACAGGATATCGCAAAATGACACGCGAGACGACTTGTGATTCATGATGTAACCAAGACGGTGCGGAGCGATGAGTAGCAGAGGTGATGCAATAGTGAACGGCCAAGCGCAAGCACTTAGCTCATGTCCATCATATCGGCATCACCGTAATGTTCGCCAGTGTATGTAGCAAGAACCTCATCACTTGGGCCAAAGTTGCCCTCGTAGATGGTGGCGCCAGAGCGACGCCTCGAGTCAACCCATCGGCAGCCATAGCACTGGAGCACTTGGTCTGCCGTTGGTCTTTGATCGGGGTCACGGTTCAGCATTGCGTATACAACATGGTCCATGGAGTTGGGGTCGTTGCGCTGCACCATGAAGGATGGTGCGCGTGCGAGGTCCTCCTCTGGGTTCGATGCTGGCTTGACGGTGATGCAGGCCATCGAATCCTCAGCAGCGTCGGACATGAGGAAGCCATCCATGGAGGGCCTCGCCGACTCCGAGATTGGGTCGCCGTGAGAGTCTCGGCTGAGGGTGCTGCTGTCCGCGCTCCAAGTCAAGCTTGGGAGAACGTTTTCGAACTCGCCTGAACGAAGCTTCTGCCAGTAGTCGCCGTTCTCGGGGATAACACAGTTACCAGCGATTTCGGCAAGCATCATGCCCAGGGCAAAAACGTCGGCAGGCTTGTCGAATCGACCAGAGAGTTGCTCAGGCGCAAGGTAGTGGCGGTCACCTTCGCCATCAATGCCAGCAGGAGCTGGCCATTGGCTCGCCAAGCCAAAGTCGGCAATCTTCAGCCCACCCTCAAAATCAATGAGAACATTGGCGGGCTTCAGATCAAGGTGAATGTATCCTGCTTCGTGAATGGCTTTGAGGCCCTACAATGGGGGGTTAGCTTGGTTCGCAAACAAAGACTATTCTTAGACGTACCATCAACAACTCAAGCAGGATCTTCCAAATGCGGAAGTCATCCAGACGACTATTAAAGCCAACAGTGTCGAGGTATTTCCTTAGGTTACCGCCCTCGCAGTATTCGGTCTGGATGTAGAGGTGCTGGTCAAACTCCCAGTGAGTCTTGATGCCCAGCACATGTTCGTTACCGCGAAGAGCATAAAGAATTTCAACCTCACGCATCTTCTTCTGGCGGTCGCCTGGGCCGATGTAGGGCTTCTTTGACTTCTTGACTACCCAAACTTGGCTACCAGCAGGCGACCTCTGGGGCGAAGGCTTGACTGGATGGCTGACACGGTACACGGTCGAGAATTCGCCTTCTCCACCATCGAGAGGCTTGATCTCGTGGAATCGCTCGCTCAGCGACTCGTCGACATCGTTCTTGGTCAAGCCAATGGGGATAGCCCCTGATACGCTGCCGAAGAAGCCAGAGTCACGAGGTGTGGTAGGAGTCGCGGGCGCAAACGAGCCGAAGCTAGCGTTGAAAGGGAACGACCCGCGACGGTTGCCCGAAATTGACAATCTGCTTGCATCTAGAGGTGCGCCAGAGTCGTTTGCGGGTGTTGATGGCGATTGTCCACCAAACAGACTTCCGGCTGCTGTTATTGGTTAGTGTACTGTTGTCGAGTTTGGATGGAAATGTGTACTTACTTGTTGGTCGACCATCGTTGTCGGGAGCGGCAAATGTATCTGAGCCAATCGAAGGGCGCGAGCGAAACGTCTTGCGTCGCAAGCTGCTCTCCTTTGAGCGACGGCTGGAGCTGTTGCTAGGCTTGGTTGGTGTTGGTGGCATGTCGTCCACACTGGACTGGCTGTCACCCATGCGGTTCGCCGTCGGCGACTGACTGTCCGGTTGGGTGTCGTCGTCATTGTCTCCATCAATGCTGATAAAGCTGCCGCGACGCTGCGTGTTGCTGGCCATGTCACCAAAGATGCTTGGTCGCTTACCAAACGACTCTGTGGAGAATTTGGACACATTTGCACTAAAGGGCGTGCTGGGAGTGCCAAACTGGTGCTGGGGTCGCGCATCGTTGCCGAATAGGCTGCCCGATCGCTTGACGAGGGGTGTGTCTAGGTTGACGGCCCTGTCTCCCGCAGCAGGAGGGAACGACTGGCGCTTTGAAGGCGTGTCAGGCATGACATAGACGCCGGCCGCCGGCTCATCCGCATTGCGGTTCTTCTTGGACAAAAGGCCTGTGGAGAAGGCGACAGGCGCTGGCGGTGCAACTTTGAATGGAGTGTCGAACGACTCATGTGCAGATTGCTCATACTCGGTTTCAAAGGGCCGGCCTATACCGATCGGTAGGGAGCGAGAGAAATGAGGGTTGCTTGACAGGGGAGGTGCAGGAAACACGGAGTTGTTCCACTGCACGGCGGGGGCTCGGGGAGGAGCCATTGGTGTGCCGCTGATGCTTGATGAAGCAGAGTGCGGTGTATGTGCGTGTGACAAGGGGTGCGGAAACGATGCTCCACCCCGGGGAAAAGGTGTGGGCAAGCCCATGCGCCCAGCATCAAAGGTGGATTTTCGGAATGGTGTTTGAGCTGACTGGGCGGGTGTCTGTGTTGAGTTGTTTATTGAGCCATCGAAAGAAATGCGATTGCGAGTCTTGGAAGCAGCCGGGCCAGGGAAGGCGAATTCGCCCTCGTAGCTTGGCTTGCGCGGGGTGTTTGAACGCTGTGATAGAGTTGACTTGCGCAGTGACGTTGTGCGGTGGATAGGCGATTGCGCGCCCAATGCAGGTGAGCTGTTGAAGGAGAATTCGTTGGTCACGTCACGCTGGCGGGGCACATCATCCGGGGAAGCGCGCTGTGCGGGAGATGGGTCAAAGATGCTCTCAAAGTCGTTTCCAAGACTCGAGACGGCGTGAAGACTGCGGCGCTTTGCAATGGGGCTGGATCCGGGGGATCCGCTAAGGTTCATGAGTCCATCATTGCGCTTCAGCGGGCTCGACTTTGCAGGCGCTGCTGCTGGTGGCGACAGCTCTGAACGGCGCGCAAACTCGAATTTGATGGGCTTGTCGTCGACTTCTAGTCGCTTGTCCATGTCCATGCTGCTTGGGGATTCTGAGCTGAGGCGTCGCACGGGCGTGTTCTCCTGGCCAATGGTGGGCCACGTCATAAAGGGAGTCGCGTTGCCGTCAGTCGTCTCGGCCAAGGCGCGTCGTCGCGGGCTCTTGGACTTGCTGTTGCGAGTGCGCGGAGACGAGCGGAGGGGTCCTGAGCGGCGCAGCGAAAACTTCTTCTTTGCTGGAACGGCCTGCGCTAGCGGTGATTCTGGAAAAGCTGCAATGGGGCTCGTGGGCTTGTTGGAGGCCTTTGGCGAGAATGCGCGCGCGATGGCGAGCGGGGAGATGGGAGAGCGGGGCGTGTCCGAGTTGCGCAGCTGAAAGCGCGATTGCTTGGAGGGTGAGCGGGAGAGAGAGCGGCGCAGTTCCTGGAGGTGGGAGAAGTGGGTACCGTCAAGGCGATAGCTGTGGGGGTGAGTAGGAGAAGGAAAGTGCATGGTGCCACCCTCTCGGCTGGGGGAGAAGCCAAAATCCATGGTACGCGCAGCGGGGTGATGGTGGTGGTGGTGGTGGTGGTGCTGACGTTGCGAGGGAGCGGGGGATGGCGTCGCGGGCGAGGGTGGTGGATGGCGGGTCCGGGTGTTTTTGTTGTTGTTGTGGTTGCCTCAGGGTGACTGATTGAGTCGTGTCTAGGCAGTCGCGACGCACATGAGGAGAGAGAGCTAGTCTTCAGTCGATGGCTGGAAGGCTGGCGGGTTTTGCAGGCGGGCGCGCGCGGTGGAATGGATGCGTCTTGTGCTGGCGGGTGCTGGCGGGCGATGCGCGATGGCGTCGTGGTGGGTTGTGTGGAGCTTGGCGGCGGCGAGGAGCGGGAATTGCACCTCAGTAAGCAGCGGGCGACGTGTGCAAGTTCTCCATGCAAGGCCTGGAGGGGATGCAGGATGCAGAGGAGTGGGGGGACAGTGAGGCCGGAGAACAGGAGGCAGTCGGGAGGCGGGTGGGTTTTGCGTGGCTGGTGTTGTTGGCGTGTCCGTGGGCGATTCGCTGCGTGTCGTGGTGGAGCGAGGGCAGGATGCGCGCGTGTCAACGGCGGGCTGGCCAGGTGGGCGCGACACGAGGTGGAGATACAACGCAGAGGGCAGAGGGAGGGCGATCGAGGGATAGAAAAGACCCTTTGTGCGCTCGTCTGCGATCGGCTGGAAATGGGGGTGGTATAATATGGGAGGAGACGCGTTCGCGCTGGCGGGCTGGTGTGGCCGCAAGGCGCGGGGCCCGTGCATGCTCGCCCACCGACGACACCCTGCAGGCCGGCCGTTAGCCTGGCATGCCAATCGCTGCACTGCGCGACACCCACCGTGAAGCTGCATCGCCGGCCACACGGTGGGGACGCACGCAATGGACAGGCTCTGCGCTGCTCATCGCTGCTCTGCGCTGCTCTGCCCTGCCCGCACCGCCGGCCTCGTTACGCGCGCGCAGTCTGGCCGTGGTGCGAGGCGCTGCAGCGGAGCCGTGGGTGGTTTCGCCACTGCCAACTGCCGTGTGCGTTTGCGTGTGCGTACTGCGTGTGCGTCGTGTCTACTCGGTGTGTGTGCGTGTGTTTACTGTTTATTGTTGATCAACAATGCCGGACCAAAACAATACTCGCCACCACCAGTCCCGTCCCCCAACCACGGCATCGGGGCACCTCCCAGCTTCCACGCCGCTAGGATCCCCCCCAATCGCGCCATGGCAGCAAATGAGGCCAATCTTAGCATCCTCATGCCCGCTAGCTGGGGCTGCGTCATGTTCAATAGGGGGCTCTCCTCGGTCAGTTCACAGTTCGCTGGCGGCCCGCTCGCTCCCGCCAACTCGCAACACGCAGCCCACACGCGCTTCGCTTGGCTCTCCGCATCGCATCATGCTTGCTAATTGCTCTCTGATTGCCTCCAGCCTGCCCCTCGACGCCTATCGCGCTATCGATAGCTTTTGCGAGTCGTGAGACAGCTGCCATGGCCCATGTCTCGCTTCCTCCTCCACCATGCCACTCTCACCTTTGCCATGCCCGTTGGCGCCACCGCTGCTTATTCCCACGACAACACAGCCTTTCCTGGTCCACCAATACTCCACCTGTCCACCAATATGCCCGCCCTGTCGCCTTCAATAATGCCCTGATATGCCTACCTCCCACCATCATCCCTGGTGAGCCTCAAAGAAAAAAAAAGGGTCTTCGTTGTGTTTCGTCTCGACATGGCGCCGACTGTTCCGCCCCGAGCATCGCCTTGTTTCGATTCTGTTCCATGGCCTTACCATGTTCTACTATTCCCTGGTGCCCAAAACCGTGGTCCTCATTGCGCGTCGGCTTTGAAATCGAGGTTCGTCTGCGTCATGTTTGCCCTGCAGCCATCGGCCACGTGCTATCCCAGATGCCCGACTCTATGTATATGACGTCGGCTTATTGCCCCCCCCCTCACAGACACAAAGACATACCACTACGTATCCACATATACGTAGTGGTATACATGGTCTCGATGAGCAAGCCATTTGTCTGATACACGCTAGCAACAACATCATACTTGCTCATTGGTCCCAGACTGGCGGCCCGCATACTCTTCAATAGCCCACGTGCTAGATGCATTCACAGGCCCATCGACACTAAACGCGCAAAAGCGCGGCTATGACGCTCGTAGATCAAACACATGACGATGGCATCCAGAACAAACATCATGACACCATACTCTACCATCAACAGCCATGCATCATGACAAAAAACAATCCCCCAGGCACCCGAGACTACTTCACGGGCGACCGCATCTGCGGCCGCGGTCGTGTCGTCTCCACGCGTCTGTAGCTCGAGCAAGCAAACGCAGGAACGCCCTCGTCGCGCATTGCCATCGCCGTACCTGCCTTAGCCTCGACCGTCTGCTGATCGCCGCATATCCACTCAATTATGGTCGGCATGCAGCCACCGAACCCAGCCGGTGCGCCTCACTTGAGTGCCTCACCAACAAGCAACCATGTCCTGCTGAGTAAACGGCGCACTTGATTCCTGCGACGGTTTGACATGTCAAGCACGGCCCGCAAGACGGTGCTTTTGCGACTCCTGGCTGTGCTACCCCCACTGCTTCCATCTGACGCCTGTCACGTCTCAGAGCCATCGCACCAGCCCTAGCCGCACTCACAGCGGCTATCAGTCGAGCCACAACCTAAAAATGGCATTGTCTCAGTAAACGTTGCAAACTAACACCCAAACACATTGATTCTCTCCCCGACGCTTATCGCCCACCCCGCATTGCTGTGGTAACAATATGCTAATGTGTCGTTGGGCTTCAAAAGAACTGTGAAGACATCAACTACCATGCCCCGCTCCGATAACATAGCACCTCGGGTCAGAGTCCCAATAGGGTTGACGCCCAAATGCACATGCTTTTCAAGCTGACGAGGCCACGAGATCTTTGCCAGGGCTGCTAAATGATTTACAGGGTCCAGGAATGGTCGGTCCCCAGTCGCCATACCGCCGCCAAGCCCTCGTCTTGCGCACCACACGCCCCATGCTGTCTGTCTTCGTATTCTCCATGATGCCTATGCGGGGTTTGCCCTTGGGTGTGACGGCAGCGAACATGGATCTCGAAGATCATGGCTGCTTTCAAGGGTCGGTTGAATCTGACAGCAACTTTACCTCGGGGTCCAACTGGTTCTTGGGCACTGTCTCTGGCAGATTGCGGCCCTCCCGGTGTGTCTTGCGCAATGCATTGCCCAAAGATGGCCTCCTTTACTTTTTTCTCCAATGGCAGTCGCTTTTCGTTGAAACAAATTTGATCATTTCCCACGCACTATTACATCCCGAGCCTCGCATGTCAATCTGTCATTGCCTTGGTAACTCGCACGTGTTGCATTGAATGTGATGTTTTACGAATTTGGTATTATGCAGGTTAGACCAAGCGAGAAGAATTAAGGCACGAGACATGTGAGTAATCCCGTAAAGTCTAACCATGGTTGAAGCTGCATGATTGTTTGATGCCGCCTTGGGCCGGATGGAAAAACTTTGTTCCCGACATTGCAGTCAATGGCGGGGTGAGTCAAAAAGTTTGGCGGGGCATATATCTCGACGCGCCGCCCACACGAGCAAGACGTCCCTTACGAACAATTGCAATAATGGCTGACGAACAACCTGCAACCCAGCCTCCGGCTGCCGAGACCAAGGATCTGCACACTGATCCCGTCACTGGCGAGAAGATCTCCAAGAGTGAACTCAAGCGTCGCCAGAAGCAGCGCGAAAAGGACGAAAAGAAGAAGGAGAAGGAAGCGTCTCTACCAGCCCGGCCCAAGAAGGAGAAGAAGGACGACATTGAGGAATTGAACCCAAATGTACACCCTCTGGTCTGTCATATCGATGCGACGTGCTGCTAATACATCCCAGCAATACTTTGAAATTCGATCCAAGAAGATTGCCGCCCTCACAGCCTCCCAGGACCCCAACCCTTATCCACACAAGTTCCACACCAACTACAGGATCGCCGACTATGTACGCGACTACTCACATCTCAAGAAGGGCGAGACAGAGCCCGAAAAGGAGATTCGCATGGGTCTCCGTGTCATGACCAAGCGATCGGCTTCCAGCGCACTTCACTTCTACGTTTGTATGTGTGTGATACAAGAAACTGTGTACACATCTAATTATTTACAGGCAAGGCAGAGGGTGTTACCATCCAGGTCATGTGCCAATTGCAAGAGTCCAAGGCCGATGTGCCCTTTGAGAAGCAGCACGAGAACATTCAGCGTGGAGACATTATCGGTGTTATTGGCTTCCCTGGCCGAACAAGTCCCAAGAAGGGTGGCGAGGGTGAATTGAGTATCTTTGCGCGCGAAGTCATCCTCCTCACACCCTGCCTCAGGATGTTGCCAACAGAGCACTTGTAAGAACCGCCCATGGCCTGAGAAAAAAGAGGTATTGACCTTATGACAGTGGCTACAAGGACCAGGAGCAGCGCCACCGCAACCGATACCTCGATCTCATCATGAACGATTCGACGCGCAACACCTTCATTGCACGCACCAAGATCGTCAAGGCCGTCCGCAGGTATCTCGATGAGCGCGACTTCCTGGAAGTGCAGACGCCCATGATGAACAAGATTGCCGGAGGCGCAACAGCGCGACCCTTCAAGACATACCACAATGAACTCGACATGGAGCTGTACATGCGAATTGCCCCTGAGTTGTACCTCAAAGAGTTGGTTGTTGGAGGTCTCGAGAGGGTATACGAAATTGGTCGTCAGTTCAGAAACGAAGGTATCGATCTCACCCACAACCCCGAGTTCACCACCTGCGAATTTTATATGGCATACGCCGACTACCACGACCTCATGGACATGACCGAGGAGCTGGTCAGCGAGATGGTCAAGGAGGTCACTGGCAGCTACGAAACCGTCTACCACACCCAGAGTGGCGAAGTCTACAACGTCAACTGGGCAAGGCCATGGAGGCGAGTCAATATGATTCCTGCTCTTGAGGAGGCTACTGGTGAAAAGTTCCCACCGGCGACTGAACTTCACACTGCTGAGACAAACGAGTTCCTCAAGAAGGTGCTCAAGAAGGTCAACGTCGAGTGTTCGGAACCCCGTACCAACTCAAGAATGATTGACAAGCTGGTTGGTGAGTTCATCGAGGAGACTGCCGTGAACCCAACCTTCATCGTTGGTCACCCTGAAGTCATGTCGCCCCTTGCCAAGACTCACCGAGAGATCCCCGGTCTTTGCGAGCGTTTCGAGGCCTTTGTCTGCAAGAAGGAGATTGCGAACGCCTACACCGAGTTGAATATGTCAGAAGTCCAGCGCCAACGTTTCGTAAGTTGACAATAGTTTCCTTAGGATTGGTAAAGAAAAGGATTTGCCCTAACGAATTTACAGGCCGAACAAGCAAACCAGAAGGCAGCAGGTGACGACGAAGCACAGCTCATCGATGAGACCTTCTGCCAAGCGCTCGAGTATGGTCTACCACCCACCGGTGGATGGGGTATGGGTATCGACCGTCTGGTCATGTTCTTGACAGACCACTACTCCATTAAGGAGGTGCTTACCTTCCCATTCATGAAGGACATTGTTGAGGACAAGAAGACGGCAGCCGAGGTTGCCGATGGCACCGGCAAGCCAGTTGAGGGAATTCGTAAGTAGAGCATTGTGCGAGGTTGGTTATTGTACTAACAGTGTGCAGCACACAAATAGTTTTGCACAGCATTTCGGCGCATTGGGTGGGTAAGAAAATGACAACGACGGGGGCAATCTAAGCCTACACGATTGGGTATGAGAACATGAATGAAATTCAACAAAGACATATGATATGCGTCTGCAATTGTGACTATCTTTGAAATGTGTAGCGGATTGTTTATTACGCCCGTCTGTATGCTGCAGCCTACCTCTTATCCGATGATGCTGACTTTGTCATTGAGAACTAACCATATCGAGGGGAATTTGCTCCTGCCTATATGCCGAAAGGTAACTATAGTAATTTCGCGTCTGTCATACCGGTTTTCAAAAGGTTCGAGATGGATGCTTTCAGCCGATAGTCGGCTCCCCACCCGCGAACTAAAATCTCCAACCGCCCGAAAGAGGGGCGGCCCGCGCCTCCATGGGCCGAACGACACACGACACTCACTGCGTCGGCAAACCCCGTTGGAGTATCAGGTAAGAAGGAATTCGCAATGCCAAAACAGGCAATTGGGTATAAAGAAGTGATGGCAGTGCTGCTCTTCCTTTTTGTTTTCTCCTTCATGATAAGTCTTCTTCTACCATTGACTTTCAAGTGCTCACGTCATTTTATATTGTATGACTGAGTGTAGATACGAATTGGATAAGTGCTTCCTACCAGTGGCTCTTAGCATAATACGAAGGAAGCCCAGCAAAAGCATAGAAAGAAGATAGCTATCTAGACTGAAAATGGCGGCACCAGGAGGCAAGTTCTTCATCCAGGATAAACTGGACATACCAGCCAAACACCATGAGTCGTTTGAACAGCTATGGGAGACGAAATGGAAGAAGCCGGTAGGTATCGCAAAACATCCTTTCAACAATCGTCTGCACACTGGGTTTATCCAAGACTGAACTGGACACAGGCTGAAATGGGCGTATACCCCTTCATGTTCGGCACCGCCTCCGACTTTGAGCCCATAGTTGCCGAAA